TAACCTTCAATGCTGAAATGAATTAGTGTTTAGATTTAGATGAATACTCAAGAACTTGAAAAGTGTCAAGTTCGCAATGATAAGAAAAAGGAGTCAAGTTGTTTACTATTGTGATTTTAGCATTAACTACTATGAAGTTATTGCTACAAATTCATCAAGTTTTCTTATTGAACGATGTGAACATTGAGACTTACATTTGAGATTGAAAATGTTTCAACTGTTCGAAAATATTATCTTTGGATCTGGAAAAGTTATACAGATTTCTTAAAGAATCAAATAGGGAATTCTAAAGTAGGGATATTGAATTCAATTTAATAAAAAGTGTTATTATGGTGGAAGACCTGTGAGTCATGATACAAGTATTAGACGGACAAATAATAAATGTCTGATAAGGATTCAGGAGCTTATGTTACTGATGAATCCGATAGGATTATAATTAATGAGTTTTAGATCATTTTGATATTGAATTGGTTGTCTTTGCATTAAGGTTGGGTTAATGGTCACAAGAAACAATTAATTTAGAAAAATGAAGAGAAATTAAAAAATTTAATGATTGATGAAAAAGTGAAATCATCAATAAGTGATATCAGAAATGGTTGTGATTAATGGTTATGATTAAGATGATGTAAATATGATGCATAGCTTTTGTAGCTAAAGTGATAGATACTTAAGTATTTGAAGAAAGATCATATGATATTTTCATAATTTGGAAATTTTCATATGTCTGTTTAGATTTATTAATTGGGTTACCTCCAGATTGAGAGGTGAAATTCAATATTAATGGTTATCAAGGCATTGATCCTGTATCTATGGGTTTGTATCGAATGGGTGCAATTGTTTTAAGAGAATAAGGAACCAATTGCAAGAATTTATAGATTGAGGATGTATTAGACTGAGTAGTTCACATTGGGGTGAATCGGTGTTATTTATAAAAAAATGGATATGTGTAGATATGTATAAATTATCGATAGTTAAACAGAGCAACTATCAAGAACAAATATCCTATTTTGAGGATTGATGATTTGTTAGATTAGCTTAAAAAGAGCAACAATTTTCTCTAAAATTGATATTCGAATGGGATATCATCAGTTAAATATTAAAGAAGAAGATGTTCCAAAGATAGTTTCAGAACACGGTATAGACACTATGAGTTCGTAGTAATGCTGTTTGGTTTGAAAAATGCTCTGGCAGCATTCATGGATTTGATAAATCGAGTATTTCAATTTTACTTGGAATAATTTTGAGGAGGTATGTATTGATGACATTCTGATATATTCGAAGACAAAGATAGAGCATGATGCTTATATTCGTATTGTGCTCGAGATATTCAAGGGTAAAAAGATATATGCTAAACTGTCAAAGTGTGAGTTTTGGCTATCAGAAGTTGATTTTCTTAGTCATGTTGTCTTGACATATGACATAAGAGCTAAAAAAATTAATTACTAAGTTTGTTGCTACATGTTTGACATGTTAACAAGTAAAAGCTGAGAATCAAGTGCTTTTGTAATTGTTGCGACTGATTTCTATTCAAGAGTGGAAATAGTAAGTCACTATGGATTTTGTTAAGGGACTACCTTTGATATCAAATAAAAAGGATTCTATTTGGGTGATAGTGACCGGTTAACTAAATCAACATATTTCATTTTGATGCAAATGGACTATACATTGAATAAATATATAGAGTTGTATATTAAAGAGATAGTTCAGCTACATGGATTGCCAGTATTAATTATATCGGACAGGGATCCAAAGTTCACTTTAAGATTTTAGAAATATTTTCATAAAGTTTTGGGTACTTGATTGAATTTCATGAAGGTGATAAAGTTTTTCTTAAAGTATCACCTTGGAAAAAGATTTTGTGTTTTGAGTACAAAGGAAAACTAAGTCTAAGATTCATTGGACCTTATGAGATATTAAAAAGAGTTGGACTGATGGTTTATCAGTTAGCATTAACTCTGGAGATAATTGAGAACCAGAGTTGGACAAAGTACACAATATTTTTCATGTCGATGCTTAGAAAGTATCGATCATATTCGAATAGATTTGATTTATAAAGAAGAATCAATATGGATGTTAGCTCGAGAAATCAAAGAACTGTGTAACAAGATGATTCCTCTACTCAAAGTATTTTGGAAAATCATAATGTTGAGGATGTTACATGTGAAAGAGAGGATGAAATGAAGAAATAATATCTACACATCTTCATATCAGGTTGAAGATTGGGATTGAGCAGGTTCAAAATCTAATTATTTGCATGATCTTTACAAAATTCCCAAATTAAGGAGGTGCTTAAAATGGAGTATTGAAGTTGAAAGGAATGAAATTTCGTGCTTAAAATGTGATTTATGGGCAAAGTGCATCGATACACAGGTGGTGCATCGATACACCCTTCAATTGAAAAACATCGAATGCAATAAGTGCATCGATTCATAGGCAGTACATCGATACATAAGGGCAATAATTGTTAAGTTGGGATGGAAATGTTGTAGAAAGATTAATAATAAATAATTTGATTAATGTTTAAGTTATAATGGTTAGTAAATACACTAACAATTGGTAATATACATGTACTCAATGAATGAGAGATAGATCGAAATAAATCTCCCGAGTCGAGTTAGGCGAAAGGCAAGGGCAAAGTCTCAGAGTAATCATCTTGTTAATCAGGATTTATAAGCAAGGCGAACCAGGTGAGTGCATCTAATTATGCACATATATGTGGTAATAGTTAAAATAACATGATTTATTAATGTATGTATAGTGATTACCAAATGACACTATATGTGCTAAAATGGTAAGGGAATCATACTGAGTGTATGAATTTCCATATGGGGCACTGAGTGTGCTAAAATGGTAAGGGAATCATACTGAGTGTATGAATTCCCATATGGAGCACTGAGTGTGCTAAAATGATAAGGAAATCATATTGAGTGTATGGATTTCCATATGGAGCACTGAGTGTGCTAAAATGATAAGGAAATCATATTGAATATATGGATTTCCAGATAGGGCATTATATGTGCTAAAATGGTAAGGGAATCATATTGAGTGTATGAATTTCCATATGGAGCACTAAGTGTGCTAAAATGGTAAGGGAATCATACTGAGTGTATGAATTTTCATATGGAACTCTGAGTGTGCTAAAATGATAAGGAAATCATACTGAGTGTATGGATTTCCATATGGATTACTGAGTGTGCTAAAATGATAAGGAAATCATATTGAATATATGGATTTCCATATAGGACATCATTATATGTGCTAAAATGGTAAGGGAATCATACTGAGTGTATGGATTTCCAGAAAAAGCATTAAGGGTGCTACAAGGATAAGGAAATCATACTAATAGTATGGATTTTCATATAGGGCACTTCATGTGCTAAAATGTTAAATGAATCATACTAATGGTATGGATTCTCGCATAGGGCACTTCGTGTGCTAAAATGAGGAGGACATCATATTAAGTATATGATATTCCAGATAGAGCACTGAGAGTGCTAATATTATAAGGAAATTATACGAATTGTACAAATTTCTTACGAAATGTATGGATTCTAATAAGGATTAATAAATGAGGTTAATGGCATTAGTGATGTAAATTATAGTAAGTATATTGTTAAAATAAGCTTAGGAGCTTATGAAATTATAGTATGTATATTGATAAAATAAGCTTACGAGCATATCAAATTATAGAAAGTATATCGGTAAAATAAGCTTACGAGCTTATGGAATAATGGTAAGTATATTGGTAAAATAAGTTTACGAGCTAATGGATTAAATGGTACGTATATTGATAAGAAATCACTAGTAGAAAAAACCCCTTTAATGATGCGCATTGCGCGTCATCTATGGGTGCGGATGACACACATTTTCCTGTCGTTGAAGCCACCGAAATGAATTTAAGATGACGCGCAACTGTGCGTCATAAATTTATGACGTGCATTTATGACTTACATTGCGCGTCATTGAAGCCCTCGTCATAAATGAAGATGACACACATTTGTGTGTCATAAATTTATGACACGCATTTATGACTTACATTGCGTGTCATTGAAGCCCCTGTCATAAATGAAAATGACACATATTCGTGTATCGTAATTGTATTTCGTGAATTATATATATATATATATATATATATATTGTAGATTGACAAATAATCAAACTAAATCACATTTAATGTCTCATAATACTAAATATATATCATATTATATATAAGCAATCCATTTGTATACAACATATTCACATTAAGTTATCAAAAATATTGTAATCATATGTCGATACAAAATATCACGAAATAATAAAGTTTGCCACATAAGATACCCATTATTTGCGAATATCATCAATGTCATCATCCGTGTATTCTTTTCGATGTCCCTTCTCATGTTGCTATAAGTGGCTTTCTTGTAATAGCATCCATGTAGAGTAAACATCTTTCATTTTCTTCATTTAACCTCATTTGCATCAATACACACAAATAGTTACATAAACTTACACAAAAAATGTAGAGGGATAAACATTCAAATTCCATATATATATGGAATAATGTGACAAATTTAACATTCTTTTTAGAAGGATAAAACATACACAATTCAAAATACAGAGTAACAATCACTGCTAACTGAGAAAGTGAAATATGAAGAGGTACCTCTACATGCTTCAAGTAATCTGGAACATCTGATTACTACATGTATTTCATTCTTTCAGTTGCATAAAACTCGGATATGCACTCCAGGAAAGGCTTCTCAAAACTTTCTGAGTAAATGCCCAAAGCAGTAAACATCTTCAAAATGACCAATTTTACATATGCATTCTTTGATAATCCAAAATCTCCGATCTGCAGAAATAACACGCAGTAGCCATACTTCAATTTAAGAGCCAACGAAAACCTTTCAGAGACATAAGTCATCCTAGTTCCTAACATGATAACTTGATAAGTTACAACATATAGACTAATTTGGTACAATGCTATCCTGAACATACCTATAATCTTAACATCATCAGTAATAAATTTAGAAACACCCAACCAATAACATAAGTAGGAAAAAGCTAAAGGAAGCTTACGTTGGCAGATTAACGCGGAAGCGGACATACTGATCTCCATGATATAGTAGAAAACCATACTTTGGCAATCCTGCAGGAACTCACAAAGAAAGCCCATTTGTAGCAGAAATGGCACAATAAAATATGTTCAAGCAACATAAAGAAATAGAGAGAGGTGGTACAGTAGGGGAATGATTACTGATTAGACATACCTTTACCTCTTAGAACAAGAAGTTCTCCATGTTGGCATCCTTTTGGTATATGTGAACACCATAATTTCAAAGCACAAAATGGTTTTTGCCGAATACAATGATACATGTAGATTGTTAAAAGTTAATAAATGAAAAAGGAATCTCTATATGGTGGAACAAAAAGAAATGGTCATATTATCTTATATCAAATGACAAATTCATGTCAGGTTTTACACATTAACAGGCCCAACTCTTGACAAGGCTGAGGCTCATGTCCAATGACATTCAAAGACTTAGTACTTACATTTGCATAACTAGACAACCTCCTCTAATAAAGAAAGATTTACACATTTTTTCTTTGTTCTTTTCTTTTTTTCCTTTCAGTAACTCTCACCAAAGTGCAATGCATAAATAAATAAAAGAGTTGCATAAAACCAAGAGAATTACTTTCACTTGAACCTTCCCTGACAATGTAGGCACCTTAGCTTCACCACCAAGAATTGCCTGTAAGAGATCCAAACATTCATTACAGATAGAAATATTTGGATTCTGTTAGCTAATCTATCAGATTATTTGGCAACGAAAAGCTATATTCAAAAGGAAGCAGGCTTGGACACTCAGAAATCAACGAAGATATCTCCACTGAAAAGGATAATATACAGTAAAAGCCAAAGAAATGACCAGGGTGAGACAAATGGCATCATGAAACAAAGAACAAATAGAAGTGAAGAGAAAATAAGAATCCAGCATCAAATATTTTGAATGTAGGTGAAATATTAGATCTGGTCCAACTATATGGAACATAGTCAAGTACAGTAATTATTTTGCATAGCCCAGATTCTTACCTGAGTAAGGCTAATATTAGAATTGACATAAACATCTGCACCATCTCTAGCAAATATAGGATCATCTGTAACCTAGATTATAAAAGCAAAGTTCAGAAGCAAGGATGATATATAACTCGACCATCAAATAGTAATTAGTTATTTACCTCTCTGCTACCCAATTTGGCAACCTCAAATCAAGTGTCAAAACTGATCATATTCTAGTTTCATGAAAAGGTATTATGTATCCCAGCTCAAAGAAAAAGTAGAGCAACAAAACTGATAAGCATAAATTTTCATAACCAGAAATGAATCTACAGTTGCACATAACCTACTTTTAGTAATGCATTTCTTAAAGATACAAGGCAATAGAAGGAACTTCATCTTTATCCTAATAAACAAGTTACCAGGTTGATTTCCCTGTCGCTTAATATTACCAGCTTCTGGTATACGTATTGTATCTTCAGAATCCACACCTAATCATTTTATAGAAAAATACAAAGGAGTCAATAAAATTAATGTTGCAATCTTAAGCTACATATTCTTTGTGACAGTCAAGTAGCCACCTATGCAGACAAAGGTTACATCCTAGAACTAGTTTGATATTTCATGCATCCATGCAAAATGCAGAAACTAAAAGTAATACTTTCATGAAGATGGGTAAATTACCTAAAACTGTATTACTAACGAAGAATTGCAATAAAAAATTAGGAAAAGGAAACGGGAAAGTAAAAAAATTGAAAAAAAGAGAGAAATAACACTCTAAGATCTAAAAAACCAACCATAGGAGGGGAGAGAGAAAAAAGAGCTATGAATTTGATCTCAAGGCTATATGATAAACCATATGAGGAATTCATGTGAAACCCTTTCTTTATATGAACAGCTAAGAATCAAAGCTACGCCTCAAATCTTCTGAACTTGAAAAAGTTTTTTATCAAAGAAAAGCAGCTAATATCTACCTGCAAGTATTGTAACTTTAACTTCCTTAACACCTTCAACAACCCCGGATCCTTGGCATGATATACATTATTCCTGAATCATATATGTAAAACCATGTTAATTGTTAATATGATATACAAGTAAAAGAAAATTGTGGTTTTGTTGAAAAAGAAACCAGACCTTGATTATTCATCCCAATCCGTTACAAGTGTTGCATGTTAATGTAAAAGGAGGAATTGTAACCTTGTTAAGAGTTAAAGAGTCAGTAAAGTATAATAAATAAAAGGTAACATGTATTCTCTTTAAAAAGTGAACCCGTTTGAGAGGATTTATAAACTCACAGTCCCTTTGCCTCTGCAAATTGGACAAACTTTAACTTTGGCATTTGGTAGATAGCCACACCCATTTTCATTAAGAAATAAACAAGGCATGAGAAAACTACATATATAAAAACCAGAGGAAGAAATCCTTCACAAAAATGGAAAGATTAGAGAAATACATTTAACATAGTGCTAAAAAATATTAGCAGCAAGAATACAAAACAATTTTGGACAAACATAAATTAAGAAGTAGAAGGGAATTAACTCATATAATTTACTATATTTGTGCTTGTAAGATTATTGAATGTGTCATAATTCAAGCAATCTTTTTACTCTACTTACCACAAGAATCACAAGGAACAAATGCATCAAAACATAGATCCTTTGTGCATCCTTTAGCAACTTCAGAAAAATAGAGCAAGAGCTCTGTCTAAAAAATTCCAGATAGAACATATTATAACTTGAAGAAGTAAAGCATGAAACTAATAGAAAATTCAGGAGAGAAAATGTGTTGACCTGAATATATGGTGAAGTCTGATCATTTCTGCCATTGAAACGAATGGTGCCAGAAGATTACAAATCACAGAAGCTAAGGTACAAAGGGAAGCAACAAAGAGACAAAACTTCAGATAAAAGTTACAAATCACAGAAGCTAAAACATGCTGAGGAGAAGAGCATAAAAGCACCTGTCTAGATCTTTCTCCATCTAGTTTCTGTCGTTTGAATGCTTAATTTTCTAGAGCAACAAAAGGAAGCGGGAAATGATGAAAATAATGGGGGGGGGGGGAATTAAAATGCGACTTTTACAGATGACACACAATTAAACGTTTACTCCGTGTTTTTACAATTTTTTTGGATTATGACTACTAAATATGACACATTATTGTAAGTCATAAATCATTCATATTTTATGAAACATGACATTTTTTATGACACACCTATTTTGCAAGTCATAAATTACCGTGTGTCATCGTTCGTGTGTCATTAAAAGTATATTTTCTTGTAGTGAATCTTATAGTATTTTGATCATGGTAAAATATTGGATATATTGATAACATGATTTTATGGCATTTTGATTTTGACATTGAAATGCATGAATTGTATTGCACTGTTTATTGTTTTAATTGTCTCACTAAATTTATACTCAGCGTGTAATGATTTTCACGCGTAGGTAAAAAGCCAGTAGTGGAGTAAAGAAATCAAAGTGACATCAAGCATCGAGGAGTATATTTCAATATCAGTAAGACGTCATATGATGGAATTTGACTTAGATAGTGGCATGTAATTAATAATATTCAATTTGTTTTATTGAATAAATTTGGAAACAAAATGGTAAATTTTATAGTGATGAAAGGTAAATTTCTATGAGTTTTATATGTATTTTCGGAAATTACTGTAGCAGTTATTATAGCAGTGCATCGATACACAATGTTAATTCGATGTTTTATGCATCGGTGCACTGTTCACGTCACTGTAGCAATGCATCATTACACTGTTCACTATTCATAAAAAATGAAATATTTTACATTAAATTAATTATAATGAAACATAATTCATATGATATGATAATTTTTATAATATCATTTACCTTTTTAGGAAAAAAAATTTTAAATCACTTTTGAAGTGGAAAATGGTTTTTAGAAATTAACGTGACATCTATAATCTGTGTAGGTATAATTATACGGGTTATGGGTGATACAAAAATTGCACCTAAAGATCAAGAGCTACATTTACTTCCCCTTATTGTACATTGTCATTTATAAAGATGACTTTTGGTCTCTACAAATGCTCTAACAACGTTTCAACATTGTATGATGGCCATATTTTCTAACATGGTTGAAGACTTTTGTTAACCTCATAAAAAGGGTACATTTCATGCTTTTTTACTTGGGTTATTGGTTGTTTTAAAGCCCATTTAGTTGCATATAGTTGCATATAACCCATTTAGTTGCATATGGTGGTGTTTTATTTTATTTATTTATGAAATTGGTGTTGCTTTGAGAGAAATGGATTCTTGTGGTATGGTGATGTGCAGGTTATTTAATGAGAACTATTGGGGGATCAAAGTTTGCTACAACATTTTGGAAGGCATTTCTTGGCGCATTATAAGACAAAAGATGAAGATATTTTACTACCCACTAATGACCCATTCTTTAGTTGTGCCTACACATAAAAGGAATCTCTTTCTTATGAAACAAAAAGAATTAAGGAAAAAAAATCCTAGGAGCCCCTACTATATAAAGCTAAGGACTCCCACATTAAAGGAGAATGGAATATGTGAGAAAAGAAAGAGAAAAGTGGAAGACGACCACTTTTCCTTGTTTCTTCCTTCATCCTGATGAACTCCATTGTTGAAGCTCTAACAGATAAACCTTGCTACCTTGGAAAGAAGCAATAGAGCTTGAGGTGATTCACGGTAGTCCAAGACATCTCAGGATTTTTCTTCCTCTTTAGTTTTCTCTTGAGTTATTTTTTGTTTTCTTGGGGTTGTTATTCAAATGCTTTTACTGGATGTTTATTTCCTAAACATGAACTAACTTACCTTGGTTTGGGTTTATCTTGTATAATTATGTTTTATTTTAATAAATGTTGAAGCATTTCTAGTTTATATACATGCTTTTTGCACTATTTTATAGCTTAGATTTGTAAGAGCTTTCGAGAGATACCTTTTATCTATGTTTCATGCTTAATAATCCAGAGAATTAAGCTTAGATCTATGTAGACAATGGGTTGAGCAGGGAAGAAAAACCCTAACTCGCTTTATATATAAGGATATGGTTTCATTGACAAAAAAAAGTAGGGCTTCATAGATAGTATCATGCTAGGTTTCACATTGAGCGGTGTTGTATTAACATTTTCACTATTAGTTTCTTACTAGAGATAGAATATAAACAACTTAGAAAACTCTGTCGAGTATTGTATTAGTTGGAAGATGTTAAACATTCATTCATGACAAGATATAGGATTCCAAGGTAGACACAACCTTTTATCATTCTTAAGAGTTTCAAATGTGTTAGGTCGTATCGCTGTCTTATCTTGTACACCCAGTTCTCAACACAATTTTTCTATAACATTCATTTACTTAACCTTTTATTGTAACAATTCACACTATTCTTATTTTGTAACAACATTAATCTCACCTTGTTTGTACCATATATACATTATTTGTTTATAGTTTGAGTGCATATTTTTAAATTATTTTCCATCCATTCCTTATGGAGACAATCTCACGCATCATTTTATTACTTGTTCAACGTGTATACTTGCACAGTTTACATATCATTATATAGTATATTCACACACGTAACAAGTTTTTGGCATCATTGTCTGCGATTGGTAATTGGTGATTTTAAGTTTAGTTTTAGCACTATTTTATTTCTTTTTATATATATTTACTTGTTTTTTTGTTTACTTTTTTATGTTTTGTGCTATTGCATGACCCGAAGAAGAACCATTATTACCTTTTGAGCCTAAGATTGAACTATTTTTTGGTTGAAGAAGATGTGCTCAAAGAACCATGTATGGAGTCTGAGATCAAGTGGAGAATCTTGCAGATCCAAATGTTGTAGCAATTCGTAATGATGGAGTTGTAGCTCATCCACATGCTATTAGAGATCACTTAGCTCCCATCTTGGATGGTCTGAACCCTGGGATTGTCGCCCCCGAGATTCAGACAACCCACTTCGAGCTCAAACCGATGATGTTTAACATGTTGAACTCCATTGGAAAATTTGTTGGTGCGCCTCATGAAGATGCAAGGAATCATATTCATTCTTTTTTATAGGTGTGCAATTTCTTTAGACAACAAGGAGTGCATGAGGATGTGTTAAAGCTCAAGTTATTTTCTTATTCTTCAAGAAATCGAGAAAGGGAATGGCTTAGTGGAGTACCATCTGGCTCTATGGAATCTTGGTCAAACCTATGCAAAAGCTTTTTCATGCGGTATAATTCACCCAAATGAGAAATAACATTGCTTCCATCCGTCAAGCTGATGAAGATTCAATGTTTGAATGTTGGGATAGATACAAGGGACTGCTTCACAAGTGAATGAACCATGGATTTCATGATGGACATAATTTATGATCTTTATAATGGTGTAAATGCTCCAATGAGGATAATGTTAGATTCCTCCTCAAATGGCACTTCGCTGAACAAGGCACCTAAAGAGGAAATTGATATCCTTGATAAGATAGAAAATAATGACTATCAATTTACTTCTTCTACGCTAGGAAAAATGAGAAAAACTCAAGAGGAATTTGAGTTGGATACTAAAGATTCAATTTTAGCACAATTACCGGCTATCACCAACATGTTGAAGAATCTTGTTGGGTTAATCGATTAACAAAATAGCCAAGAGGGGGTGAATTGACAATTAAAAATTTGGTGGAAGCTTTGACAGAAAATTGAAAAGATTTGCACAACGATTTAGAGTGGTTCGACTTTCTCAACCAAAGTCTACGTCCACTACCTTAACTATCCACACTAAGGATTTTCCACAAATTCACTAATTTGTCTTTCTTTTGAGGAAAAAGAGTAACCTTACAACTCCCTCGTGAATTATACCCCAAATTCTTGAGAACACTCTTTCTCAAAGAGAAAACTTACAAATTTCACAAACTTACTGAAAAACCTCACAAGGCAAGATGTTTGCACAATTCTAAAACAAAGAAAGAACACTCAAGAATAAATACAATTGAGCGCAAAGTGTTCTTGAAAGCAAAATGAATATTGAATGAAAACTGACTTGAATTTCTCAAACTTGATGTTTGATGCTTTCTCTCTTGATTATATCTCAATTCTTGATGATCATAGACTTCAGAACTTGTTTAAATACACCTTGGATCAATTCTGAACGTTGGAGATCATTGGTGAAATAAATAGAACCGTTTTGGTGTGAATACCACTTAAAAATCTGTTGGGAGCGTATGGGTATCGATACACCTTCAAGAGGTATCATACATCCTGTATAAAATTCAAATATTTTGACCGTTATTTGACCTAGTGTATCGGTACCTCTCAGGGGTATCGGTACCCATATGGCATTCTGTTTTTCTCGGAGCCAAAATTAACATAAGGGGGATCGATACCTTTGGCTAGGTATCAGTACCTATGTATCGCTACCCTATGGAGTATCTGTACCCTTTTTGCATTCAAATTTTGAGGGGTATCAGTACATCTGAAGAGTGTATTGGTACCTCCCTATTTAAAATTCATTTTTGACTCGATTTTGGTTTGAAATACATTGTAAAATTTATTTCAAAAATATTTTAAGATTGAAACACAATTTTTCATTAAAGTAAAGAGTAAAATTGTCATTTGAAAACTTAGAGTATTATTTGTGATATTCGATTAATTGAATCGAATATGTGATTTGAAATTGAATATAAAATCTTAAGATTCATTAACACTTTATTTGTTATATCGAAACATAAAAATGTTTAATCTCCCCCTTTTTGATATAACAAAACATTCTCTTTTTGAAATCAATTTTGAAAAATTACTCCCACTCCCCCTTTCTATATTATTCTCCCCTTTATTGTTAAATCAAAAAGTCTCTATTAAAATGTTTAAACAATTTTTCAAGGAAAATAGTCAATTGATTTATATAGAAATAGCTGCTAAGATCATAATTAAGAGAAATGTTAGACATTAGTCCATAATCAATATTCATAAACAATATGTAAATTGGGAATTGGTCAATATTGA